TTTCTCTTTGATGTAAATCGAATTTGAAATTAGTATCGAAAAATTATTGTTTTAAACTTGTAAAAATATTGAAAATGATGCTGATTTAACAGCATCAAATACATGCAATAGAATTTATCATAATATTGTAATACGATCTTTAGTGAGTTTTGGGTCTTTCTTGTACTTATGTTTGATTTTGATGAAAAGTACTCAATATTCGATACTGAGTAGTATCAATTTTATTGCCACGATTCTTTTTTCAGTACTCAGTATCGATACTTTGCCTCGATACTTCTAACACTAATATGTTGGACTTCTGTTCTGCTTCGGCTTGTGCGCGGAATTACGAAACTCACAGATATAGATGCATGGGACTGAAAGTGTTCTAAAATTGTACATGAATATATATGTATATAAATAACTAAACAAAAAGATGACTCCAGAACGAAGGTTTAGTCATTACTACATGACACTGCACTCGCTCGGCATGATTCGAAAATTGCGATCGGATGGGAAGTCTGTGTCCGAGTTCGAGAGAACTATATAAAATACATACTAATAATAAAGTAAACGACAATAAAGCGAGATTGTTCATATTTCGGGTTAAAGAAATTTAGTGTTTGATATTTACTGCTGTTTTCTTAATGACGGATTCCAACAAATATTTGTCATCGCTGCTTTTCCATGGCTTGGTGTTAGTATTTCCACTGAACGTATTAATATTTTTGATATTATACTGATATTTACCAATTAGTTAAAAATTATTATGTTTTTTACTAATACTACAGTCTTAACTCAGTTTACGTCAGTAATATTGAAACTGCACTTGAAGAAACTCGAATTTAACGTATGCAAATCGTAGCGCCTTCTACGGAAACCGGCTTTCGCGTTTTTTGAAAATCGCGCTATAGGCAGGAATAAGCGCTAAATTACAGAAAATGTTAATGCTTTATATTTTCAATCCCATAAATGATTTTTCGTAGATGTCATACATAATCTTGATTTAAAACTAGGACGAATACATATTTTGTTAACACATTCATTCAAATGTTTCAGTGGTAAGATCTTGGGTGGAACCCCGATTTAAGATATTTGAGATTCACTACGGGGTTTGAAACAAATAATTAACTATTCTTGCCGAACTTAAAACGCAACATACGCAAATACAGTGGTACACCCGACTTACGAGTGTTTCAAGATGCGAGCCGCCAACGAATCGATTCTCGAACTTTGAGCGAGCAACAGCTTTCTAGAAAAATGTCAATGACAAAATGAAAATTTTGGTTGGTTGTAATCAGTGGTGTTGTCGAGCCGGAACACACCGGAACGTCGTTCCAGCAAAAAAAATTCAAAAAATAAAATCGCTACATACAGAAAATGATTTGATAAGTGAATTTTATAATTTATGATTTAGCTGATTTTTATTAAACGTTCCTATTATTTTTAATAAACCTACATAATATGCACAAAATGGTTTTGTAATGATTTTGGTTTCTTTCCTTTTCGAACGGAACCGGAACAAACATGAGAACCGGTTTTTAAACCGGTTTTTAAACCGGTTTTTTAATTTCAGCGTTCCGGTAAAAAAATATTAGCACAACACCACTGGTTGTAATAATGAGTTTTTCTATAATAGACATATATTGACTATTTTATAATAGTAAATTATTTTATAGTTACTTCTTTCAATTATATATTAACCCTTTCGACTCGGATGCCGCCGCTTCGGCGGCAAAATTCATATAAATCTCGGAATTCGCGAGTGGAAAGGGTTAATATTACGTGTGTTGTAAGATTTACCCACGCGAATAAATCTAGGTTTGAATTTTCAACTGTACTTTAATAGTGGCTGTACAGTTATGTGTTGAGTTCGCGTTTTTTGCTTTTTGTATTTTGTCAAAATATTATTTACTTTTATAACTATGGGTCCAAAGAAAAGGGCCATGTCTATTACATTAAGGGGCACAACTAGTGTAACCGCCCAAAAAAAGGTGATTTTTGGGAATTTATATTAAAAAAACTACTTTATCAATCATTTCAAAATTTTAGGAATATATTTATACATGTTTTAAGAATACATAGTAAAATTTTTGAAGAAAAAAATTAAATATTTTTTAAGTTATCGTCGATCTCCAACGACGCGACAAAAAAGACCCTTCACTGCTGCAGTGATTCCGGCCTTCTACGTGGATGAAATTAAAAAAAAAAAATTTTTTTTGTTAAACTAGATATTATTGTCTGTAAATTGAACTACGATAAAAAACACAAATCAAAAATTGGCAAAATGGCGGCGTTTTTTTTTTTAAAAAAAGTCGAATTTTACCCAAAATTTTGGTCGTTTTTGGACTGCCAAAATTCGAGTTTTGATCCGATCAAAAAATCGAATCCGTTCATTTTACGGAGAACTATATATAGAATATGTAAACAAAAATTGATAGTGATCGGATCATTTGTTTTTGAGTAATCGCTGCAGCAAATTCGGAAAATGCTGTTTTGAGAAAAACGCGTTTAAAGATTGAATGATCGTTATACTATATACTATATATACACTTTAAATGGCTGTAACTCAAAAACTATTTAAGATATCGATTTAAAATTTTGGAATGTTATTTTTAAAGGTATGACCTATCAAAATATGGAAAAATTGAAAATATGAGGATGGCGAGGACGTAAGATTGTAACACATCATACCATCATATAATAGGTTGTCAAATATCTCCCTTCCGCCTTTTTGTATTATAAACCAAGAGCAAAAAAGCGGAAGGAAGATATTTGAAAAACTAATATATGTACTGTGTTAAAACATAAAGAGTTAATAAATGGTTACTTGCTTAAATGGCCTTACAATAATTCATAAGCAGCTTTGTGAGCTTTTAGAGCTTGTGTATAAAAATCACTCTCAAAAAGATATAACATGACTAACATCTTTCCTCAGAATTATAAAGAAGACAAGAAAAAACAACTAGTGGAACATGGCATCGTGCCTTAAGGCAAATTATTGGAACTTTCTGTGCCAAAAAAATGAAAATTTATAAAAAAAGCTATAAAATTCTTTGAAAATGTTAAAAAATAGATTTTTGAGAATTTTGACATTAGATTTTATAAAAATTCGAAATATTTTTTTATAATTTGAAGGTTTTTTTAAAGCAATCGCACTTCGTTAGCTGCGTTGTCTAACGGATAAAGACTTGTACGGTACTCATAGAATTGTAAACAAAATCCGTGCTTATTATTAAAATCTCTCGCCAAAAACTAATCAGCACGTCTCCTTATCAATAGGAATCAAATGTTTTTTAAATTACCCAAATCGTTTGACCCGCGTTCCCAAAATCGTCGACGAAAATTTGTATCCGCACAAACACATACACACATCCATTTTTTCTGAGGTATGCTAAAATGTTCAGAAACTTCTAAAACGTGAAGATATAGAAAATTTTCATTTTCGATGTTTTGTCGATCACTATAACTTGCTATACCGGAAGTTAATTAATCGAAAGTAATTTTATTTTTAATATGTAAATGACTTAACAAAACCCACAGTGCTGGAACGAATGAATAACATCTCAATATGTTTATATGGGGAAAATTGCTTCGAGATACGAGTGATACTACATATGATCGTGGTTACGGAACGAAAAACTCGTATGTCGGGATACCACTGTGCATATTTTTGCTGTGCTATGCTAACGTGAAAGATTTTAAATATAGTCATTTTAAGTTTTATTATTATTACAGTATTTTTTTTTTTTTTGCAGGATGGTTTTACGCCTTTGGCTGTTGCCATGCAACAAGGACACGACCGCGTAGTTGCGGTCTTACTCGAGAACGACTCACGTGGCAAAGTGCGTTTGCCGGCTCTGCATATCGCTGCAAAAAAAGACGACGTTAAGGCAGCTGTATTATTATTAGAGGCAAGTTATTCTAGAATCGAATTACTTTGTTTGTTAAGTAACCGATATAAAATACATTGAATTTGAAAGGGAAGAAAGAAAAAGAGAATTATGATCCGGGGCAACAGGATTGATTGTGACTAGCATGAAAAAAAATTATCCCGTGCAGTTTGAAAATAATATAAGTAAAACGTAGAGCTTTTGGTCAAACAGTAATCGATTATTGCGTTTAATTTGTAGTATATTTTACATTTTGAAACTAATTTATTAAAAGGAGGCCATTATACAATGACTATACAATAATCCTTGACCATTTTCCATTAAATCTGAATGAAGTGTGTCTTTTATTACTTCACCAAAAACCATGTGTTTTACCAGTCTTCTTTACACTTTCGAAAGAAAAAATTGTAAACACAATTTATTCAGTATTTAGACGTCAACAACTTTGTACTAAAATGTAACTCAAAACTAATTATATAGTTTTAAATGTTCCAATTCTTAATAGCTTGGTTGAATATTGCGTAATAGTGTAGTGTATTTATGTATAATTAATTTTCAGTGAATATTAATTTTCTGTGCTAAGCGCTGTAGAGTTACATCGAATGCTTGCCGAAGCTTATGGTAACCATGCTCCATCAGAAGCAACATGAAAAAGATGGTTTTCCCGAAATAATGATTTTGTTGTGTGAAATGAAGAACGTAGAAAACCACTAAATAAGTTTGGAGGCGCAAGCAATATTGGTGTTTCACTTATAAACAAATAGCAGAAAGGTTAAATGTTGCAAATACAACTTTTTCTGGCCGTTTGTGGGTGCCCCGTGAGTTGCGAATGAAAAGCAGGTAGAAACCAAAAAGCACTTGTGAAATTTTGTTTCAAAGGCACAAAAGAAAATCAATTTTGTATTGATAATAAATTGATGTAAATTGATCTATTTTAAAAATCCCAAACGAAAAAACTCATGGACAATCTTCAACATCGACTGCTTAACCAGATCAATTCGGCAAGAAGACAATGTATATGACCAGGGTGGCTTGGTATATTGCGAGTTTCTAAAATCTAGCGGAACTGTTAATACTAATTGCTTCCGACAACAAATGATCCTTGCATTTGTTTGAATTTGAACCTTTCATTGATTGAAAAATGACTAGAATTATTCAGAAAACAAGTCATGGTAATTTTGCTGCATGAAAATGCACCTGCACGCAAAAAAGCAGTTAAAACAGGATATAACCAAAAAAATTTGAGCTGCTACTCCATCCGCCATATTCACTAGACTTCTTCCTACTACCATTTATTTTCATCGATAGGAAACGCATTACCTGAGCAGCACTTCGATTCTTATGAGGAATTCGAAAATTGAGTGTCTGATTGGTTTGCTTCAAACGAAAAACAATCTGTTTGTTTCTACAAATTGACTGAATGATTAGTTTAATATGTGGGATAATTAGTATTTTATTTTCGCAAAAAACGCTCACTTCATACTGCCATATCTGTATATATACATATCTCAACATCAAAAATAATGATTATATATATTAACTAAGTCTAATAATAATCGTGCATAGTATGAATAAAAAACATAAACTTCTTTTAAAAAATTATTTTACATCTATACATTTTGGCTATAATCCTAGCCTTTATTTAATGGCAACTAAAAATAAAATTTAAAATGTAAAACAATTGAATTGGAAAAAATTACAAAGAGTAAAAAGTACTTACAATTAGTTAATTTGAGTGTTAAAACAGAAACTTCAATAATCCGGAGATGGTAATCCACTACACTATGTAATATAAATATTAGACTTGTAATTAAACAATATTTCAAAAAATACTAACTTCAAAAATCGCAATAGATATCTGCAATATATGTTTTTTCCGTAAACTGGTTGAAGACATAATGGAGAAATGAGTTTTTAAAAAATAGTTTTAACCATATCCTACGAATGTGTGGAACTAATTTCGAATACTTTGCGCACATTTTTTATTGTTTTGTGAGAAATTTGGAAATACTATCTATCTTTGGAAAGAGATTTAAGTCGCACAGACTGTTGAGTTCATTGCGCTTATTTATTGTTATTGTTGTTATAACTATAATATATATATATATATATATATATATATATATATATATATATATATATATAAACAAAGATTCAAAAAATCAAACCGAACTGAAAATAAACAAAAAAAATTGTTCTGTGGACGCAAATCATAAACTAAATGTATTATTGTTATTATATTTACATTATATTTGGACTATATAATCTTTTAAAAGCAAAGCAGGCCATAATTATTGATTTTTGTTCTATTAATTTTTCAGAATGAACATAATCCTGATGTAACATCGAAAAGTGGTTTCACTCCATTACATATTGCAGCGCATTATGGAAATGACAATATCGCAAATCTTCTGTATGAGAAGGGCGCAGATGTCAACTTCTCCGCCAAACATAACATAACTCCATTGCACGTCGCTTCTAAATGGGGTGAGGAGATTTTTTCTGTTTTTATATTACATATTTTTTATATCTTTCCTCGAAACTATTATCTCATAAAAGTACATATTTTTTATATCTGTGTTAAACCATTCGACATATACCAATAATTATTGGGCAATTGCTTTGATTTTATTTTCGTTTGAAGTAGATATTTTTCACCTTCTCATTTAATAGTTCCGATATTGGTTTAATACAGTCAACTGATTCTTATGTCAACTCGGATTATCGTGTGCTATTTTTATATCGTTCATTGGAGTTGTATTACAAATTTGTGATTGGTAATCCATCGCCATTAAAATACTTTTCTTCAATTTTCGTTGAAGACATTCCGCTATACTTATCATTTCATTGTTTGATTTTGTGTTACAGGTAAGATAAATATGGTATCGTTGCTGATTTCAAAAGGAGCAAATATTGAGAGTAAAACCCGCGACGGTTTAACACCTCTTCATTGCGCAGCCAGATCAGGTCATGATCAAGTAGTGGATATGTTACTTGAAAATGGAGCCCCGATACAATCGAAGACTAAGGTATGCTTTATTTACGAAAAACCGATTTGATCGATCTATTTTATTAAATATTAAATTATCTCGAAACGAAATACAAACTTTTATATCTAAATCCGCCCAAGCGTCTGGTGAAAATGCCATAATAGGCGTAATAATGTTCTTTAATTGTATCATATCGAGAGGAGCTGGCAATGACCAGTTACTTTTTCGCACAATGTATTTGTCTAAAATATCAGCTTATCATATTTTATATAGACTGCTATAATAAATACAAAAAAAATGTTTAATTTTATTTTAGAATGGCTTGGCGCCGCTACATATGGCAGCTCAAGGCGAGCACGTGGACGCAGCTCGTATACTTCTTTACCACCAGGCAGCCGTCGACGATGTTACTGTGGATTACCTGACCGCCTTACATGTGGCCGCGCATTGTGGTCACGTGCGTGTCGCCAAGTTGTTATTAGATCGAAATGCAAATGCCAATGCGAGGGCCCTTAATGGTTTTACGCCTCTGCATATAGCCTGTAAAAAGAATCGAATTAAAGTCGTAGAAGTATTGCTGAAACATGGTGCAAGTAAGTCAATTGTGTTTTGAAGTTTTTAAATAATACTACCAAGGTTTCGACATTCAGCATACCTGGTTAGGCTGAATTCATACAATCGTTTCGTTTTCTTTAGAAGCAAATGATAATGAAAGAAAACTGACAACGCAATCTATGTTAGTTGTTATACATGTGCAATTTTGCAATCACTAAATCGGATGTTCAAATTATTTTTACAGGCATAAGCGCAACGACAGAAAGTGGTTTGACTCCCCTCCACGTTGCTAGTTTCATGGGGTGCATGAACATCGTTATATTTTTATTACAAAACGAAGCGAGCCCCGATGTGCCAACTGTTCGCGGAGAAACTCCTCTTCATTTAGCTGCTCGAGCTAACCAGACGGACATCATACGCATATTATTGCGTAACGGAGCTATCGTGGATGCGAAAGCTAGGGAGGAGCAGACGCCGCTTCACGTTGCTTCACGTTTGGGAAATGTGGACATAGTCACGCTGCTGTTGCAGCATGGCGCTAACATAGATGCGACAACTAAAGATCTTTATACTCCGCTGCATATTGCGGCTAAAGAGGGGCAGGAAGAAGTGACTAATACTTTAATCGAAAACGGTGCTTCTTTGAATGCGACTACAAAAAAAGGTACTTGAATTAAATAATATTATTAGACACGATACTGTCTCTATATTTTATTATATTTTGATTTTCCAGTATCTTTCTTCAAGTACAATACTTTTGAATCTTTTGGAATTAAACTCTTTTCCCTAATGTTTGTTTCTTAAAAAATTGAACTATTTTTGTTCTAGTGCACGATGATTATTTAAAGTCATGCGTTATTTGTTTGGAACATTAAACTTCTAAAGCATGTGTACATGTGTACTGGAATTAATAAAATCAAGAACGATATAATATATAAGCATTGCTTTTGCAGGTTTCACACCTTTGCATTTAGCTGCCAAGTATGGAAATATTCAAATTGCTAAATTGTTGCTCCAAAAAAAAGCTCCTGTAGATGCTCAGGGCAAAAATGGCGTAACTCCTTTACATATCGCGAGTCATTACGATCATCAGGAGGTAGCTTTATTACTTTTGGCTAACGGCGCCTCTCCATTGGTGACTGCAAAGAACGGCCATACACCTTTGCACATAGCTGCCCGGAAAAATCAAATGGATATTGCTACGACTCTTCTCGATCATGGAGCACCTCCGAATGCTGAAAGCAAAGCCGGTTTTACTCCTTTGCATCTGAGTTCTCAAGAAGGACACACTGACATGTCAGCCCTGCTTTTGGAGCACAAAGCTAATGTCAACCAACCCGCTAGATCAGGACTCACTCCACTTCATCTTTGTGCGCAGGAAGATCGAGTGCCATTAGCAGAAATTTTAATCAATAGCGGAGTTGATGTCAATGCTGCTACGAAACAAGGTTACACGCCCTTACATATTGCCAGTCATTTTGGCCAAGTGAATATGGTTAGATTTTTGCTCGAAAACAAAGGAGAGGTTGATGCTAAAACAGGAATTGGTTATACGCCGTTGCATCAAGCTGCTCAACAAGGACACACATTGATAATTAATTTATTATTATCGCACAAAGCAGATCCAAATGCAGTAACCAATGTAGGTATTTTATTGTCACCTAATTATGTACATATATTAATTTTTGTTTCCAATCATTTAGCAGAATCTTAATCAAAAATAATTAATCATGTCTATCAAAATTTATAAGTGAATTTTTTAAACCGCCAAGAATAATTGCGTACAAAATTTTTGTGATTTATTTTCAATTTTTTAACTTTCCCTGGGGTAAGTAATCGTCAAAAAATCGAAAATGAAAATTTTTGCACATCTTTACGGTTTCTGAACATTTTGGTATACCTTAGAAAATATGGATGTATGTTTGTATGTGTGTGAGTTTTGTGTGGTTTTCGGGAGCAGGGATCAACCGATTTGAATTAAAAAAACATTCGATTTCTATTGATAAGGAGACGTCCTAATTAGTTTTTGGAGGCCAGCCGTTTAGGAGATACGGAGCAAAGAGTTCAGAAAATAGAAATTAAGTTTTTGAGAGAACAGACCATCCGATTTGATTGATTCAAATAGCATTTAATTTGTAATAATGAGAATGAGTGAAGATTTGTTAAGTCCAGCCGTTTTGTAGATACGGAAAAGTGCAAAAAATCGTAGATTTTGAGAGAACGATGCATCCGATTTGAGTGATTCAAAAAACATTCTGCTTGTGAAGAAACGATTAGTTATTGAAGAAGGCAGACAATTTTGTTTGAAAATATGTTTTGGATTTTAATTTTAATTTTAGCTACAATTTTAAATCTCATTATACTTAAAATAAATACTTTAAGCTCTTAAATTTTGTCTATAAGATACGAATGATTAAAGCTACATTATTTATAAAAATCTATTTCACAACATTTATATTCTTTGAATATTTAATTACGGTACGGAAGTTCCAGCAATTTGCTTTAAGACATGATGGCCATGCACTACTAGTTTATTGTATTTTGTTTTTGAGTGGTATGAGATTACTATTGAACCTCCTAAGAAAAAACTACTATAAAATCCTCAATAACTTTTAGAAAAATTCTTTTTATTATTCAACTCCGATTTTTTCAGAACGGACAAACAGCTCTAAGTATCGCTAATAAGTTAGGATATGTCACTGTAGTGGAAAGTCTGAAAATTATAACTGAAACAAATATTACAACTAATTATACTACTACTATAGAAGAGAAGTATAAAGTAGTTGCACCAGAAGCCATGCATGAAACATTCATGTCGGACTCGGAAGATGAAGGTGGTAAGTACTTATGTAAAGAATATACAATGTGCTTTCGATATATGGTTTGTTTATCAAAAAAACAGCGATTTCTAAAACTACTATTATCATGCAATAGCAGTACGCTCTCATTAAAGATGTGCCATGATTATGAATAATTGTCTATTGTATATTTTAGGAGAAGATCCAATGTTGTCAGATCAGCAACAATATCGTTATATGACTGTTGATGATATGAAGTCCATGGGCGATATGTCAATGCGCTTGGATACAACTCATGATGATGCGCACGATAATCGACATTCTATGGGTATATTATTTTTGAATGAAAGTAACTAAAAAAAAAACTATAATTATAGCCCTACTGAAGTCAACTTTTTGATTGGCATGTTTATTTTTTTATTGTTATTAATATTGATATTTAGGTTTTTAGCATAATGAACTATTATATTAAGAATCTAGATTACATGTATTGTATTTCAGCTCCATCCATAATTAACGAAGCAGCTGTGAACCGACATTACAACAAAGAAAATTATGCTATGAACACTCAACCTCTGGGTGCTCCATACAACGTGAATATTGCCAAAAATCCTGTTCATATAGGGTATGTCATCTACTATAACATCACAACTTGATTTCTTACATCTATTTCATAACTCAAACTTCATAAAAATATCACGCTAGAAACCATTTTATTAACTTATATGCTATATTTTTTAAATATTGTGCGCCACATACGAGGTTCTTCAGTAATAATATAGTCATAATAAACAATGAGTTTTAAACTTGACATTTAGACTTGATTTTTAAAGATTTTTTTTAGCATTTTGAGAAAATATAGTATAAAATGATATAAAATTTAAATATTTTTTAAATAATAATGGGTAGTACTGCCCTATTAAGACAAGTCTTTGAGCTGAGTTAAACTCCAAATCAATTCAGGGAAGAACTAGTTTGAGAGTTTTTCTCATTTTTATTTCACTCATACCGCAGTTTCAATTGGAAACATATTTTGATCTATATTTTTAATTGAAAATGCACATCGCGCTGCCCGATGTCAGTTTGCCAATAAAATACAATATATGGAAAAATTACAAAGTCGCATATTTAAAAATATGCTAGTTTTAGTAACATTTCCGCAACTGTATAGCGTCAAGAAAGCTACGATCATAATCCTATCAGATCTTGGGCGTCATTGTCGCAGTAATCAGTTCAAACATATAGCTCGATTTCAAAACTACTTTTAAAAACAGGCCAAAGGATCTGCCGATAGACAGAACAGAAATCTGCATTTATTGCAAAGGCCTATTTTTCCCCCTAAGCCAGACAAAGCCTGGTTAACATTTTTATAAACATTTACTTTTCTTGCTTTGCCTATCTTCTGAATCTTTCTTGAGTGCTCGACTATTTTATACAGGTGCACTTCCGATACGTAATTTATTTTACCAGAAAGATTAAAATCATCAGATTTGAACTTGAAGAGTTTAATTATATTTTGGTATAGATAATTTTACTACTACTAATTTCAATTTGTGGTTGTATCAATATTTTTCAATATAGCATATCAATTGAATGGTTTGGTGGATGTATTTGTTCATCAATATTAACATAATTGTTGTCATGCATGTTGCTGTCAAATAGTTTTAATGAAAGCATTTCAAACAATTTTTATAGGGTTTTTTTCATTTAGATTTCTCAAAGTTAAATATACGCTTTACCTTAAACTCTGATTCTTGGTTTTGCTGGTATTTAGAATTATACCTGCTCGAAATTAAATTTGATAAGTAACACTTGATATTAGCTTTTTTGTTTAGTTTTTTCATATAGTGTAATAAAAATAAATGACGAGGTGATTTCGATAAGGACTGATAAAAACAATGTGCTATTATATATAAATTAATTGGATTGCTTACATTTAGCTAGTCATTAGTAAAACAATTAATGGTTATGTATTGCTTAAAATAATATTTGTAATGAGGTGCGATAATTTATCATCTTAACGATGAAATGTCTTTCATGTGGTATTATGTTTATTTAACCTTTAGAGTAAACGACTTTGCTCCCAGAATTACATCAGGAAGCAGGCGGATAAAGATACATCCTATGTCTAGGGCGAGGTACCTAAGAAAGAGCTTTTTTTTTCAAAGTATTTTGTTTATCTTCCGTAACTATTTATTTTTTCAGTATTTTTTTTATTAACTTTTTTTATATAAATAGCTTTTTGTACATAGTTTTATCAGCAAACTTTGATACATAACAAAGCTAAATTTTATTATTCAATATTTTGTAATGTACACTAGTAAATGTTGTAATATATGATTAAAGACGTATGTTCGTAAATATTGAGAGATTGAAATAGGTTCTTAACAATGTATTTTATTAGTCATGTGGTTGATTTTAGTTGAGCATTTTTAATAGTATTATGGAGCATAGCTGTTTACTTCAATCAATCTGAATCAAATATTAAAAAGTCAATTTTGGGTTTGTGGAACTGTTAGCATTTTTTTATATATACATTAGTTAATTTCTCATCCCGTAGTAAAGTAAGACATAAATGCTGCTTATTGTCTTCCTCATTTAGAAGGCTACTGATACACTTTTGAGCATCTATTCAGTTTATTGTAATATAATTACATCCTATGTCGAACAAAAGAAATTACTTTCCGAACATTCTAATTCTTATATTGACTTTTAAGTTCTTTTTTTATAATGATTTTAGGTTGGTAATTATCATTAATATTGCATAATGCATTTAAATGTAATTATTATAATCAAGAACAGGTTAGTTTTGCATGCAATTACTGTCTTGTTTAATGCCAAATTCAAAGTTTGCTTGTATCATTTGCATATGTATAAATGTGTAGAATTAATATAATTGATTTATATATTTTTAATAAGATATTAATTCAAATAATTACCAGATTATGATGCTTAAAAATATTTATTGTGAGCTTATCGTTTTTGTTTACTTTTAATCAGAATTTGTCATTTTATCCATATTTATAATTTAATTCGGAGCAAAAACGATCGTTTCATTCGAAGTAACATTTACCTGAATAGAAAAAATCTAAGTACAACTCTATGAAAAAGTAGCATTTGTTGGTACAAATGTCTCTAATTTTTTTAAATAGTTTTACAACATTTGATTAAAACAAGATGATTGCACAACTCGAGTATACGATCTATTATATTATCAAACGTGTCATATTATCTATGAACGATCCCAAGGATATATAAGTTTGGCCAAAAAATTTTGCTCAATATTTTCGTTCTATCAGCACAAAATCACACTCAAACGATATAACCTTTATAATAAAAAATCCGTCGTCTTTATTCAGTAAATGGTAAATTTACGTAAATTTCTGTTAAAAATGGTCGAGTTTGACCATTATATTCGACAAAGTAGATTGTAAACATAATTTACTATAAAAAAAATGTTTACAAAAATGTTTTAATTTTGAAGACGAATGAAATATATTTAAAAAAAAATACAATAATAGATAACCAACACTTCTACATCACTAAAGCATATAAAACAGTGCTTAGAATCTTGGGTCGATTGATATCGTGTTTATTTTATTTCATAATCAGCAAAGGATTGCATCTAAACGGAGAGCCGAATATAAAACGGTTTATTCTGATAACATTTTGAAACTCATACTACATATCACAAAAACAAGGTAAATCATGTCCTGAATTGATATATATTTATTATCGAAATTAGGTATTGATATTTCACAAACGAATTCGGTCTCGGCGTTCCGTCTAATAAATAAATGCTGTTGTATCTGCGCAACTATTCAGAAGTTAAATGGCTCGCATGCAAACGAGTAACGAGTAACTCTAATGATTCGTTTCAATTCGGATCATGCAATTAACTCGAATGATTCGATTTCAATTTTTTCAATGATTTTTATTATTTTTATTCAAATTTTTTTCATACATTTTGTATAACATTAAATATTTCTCGGCTTGATACGTTTTGATTCGAATCCAGTAAATTGTGATTCAAGCCAGGTTGTTAAGGGCTTGTTTGGAATGATTCCAATTACTTGATTTGAGTTGGCACGTCACAAATTATTTGCGTTTTAGTTGGATTTTGATTAATATTAATGAAGCTGGACACCATGTGTACTATGATGCGTACCTCTTGCTTATCGTGTGGGAGGGTAAAAAGTAAATTCACTTAAAAATATTTGAGCCATGTTACAAGAATATTGAAAGTAAGTTTGTTTGATCACAGTGTTATTGTATACTTTGATTTACACAGTTACGTAAGTAGAGTTAGATGTATATATTT